CCCAGGCCTGTTTTCTTCTCAAACAGAGCCTGGGCATTTAAGACATATTTGAGGAACCTTCACCGTGTCCTGGACTTCTTATGAGGGAGAGCGAAGACAAGACAATCCACAGAAAAGTTAGTAACTGCAAGATGAAAGGTCTTCCCTCCCTGTCTGGGCGGGACTGGGGGCGGATCCAACCAGTTCCTCAGCTGTGCACCCCCCCCCCCCGTCCCATATCGATGCAGTTATGGAGCGGCCCTAGTGAGGCTGTTCCTCATAATGAAAAAGGCAAGGCCGGGGTTTGAGTGCTTCAGAGCTACTAGCAGCAACCCCACCGCTAGCTAGCTGTGTAACCCTTAGCAAGGAGCTTTTCTCTCCGGCTCTCCGTTTTCAGCTCGACTAGGGAGGTATATTTTCGAAGTCTCAGAGCAGAAAGAATTAAGTCAGCTAAAATTTTCGAAACTTCTGACCAAAGGTTTGACACCAAGTTTTTCCCATCCCCTCCAACCCACATTCCTGATACCAGGGGGCTAGAGCCGAGAGAGGTGCTTAGTCGGCGGAGAGAGGGGAAGGAATCCAGAGGAATCTTTCCCGTACCGCGGTGGGCCGAGCTGGGGTGGAGGACCTTGGTCCGGGCCCCTGGAGCCTCAGGGTCTGCCTGACATCTCCAGGCTTAAATAACCGTGCGCCTTTGTTATTCGTAGGCAGCAAAGTGGTTCGTTACGCCTGATTGGTCTAATTGCTTTGAAATGAGATATATTATCTATAATTATAGAGTCCTGGTAGGAGCCGGCAGGCCTCCGCTTTCATCTTCCCCAAGTGCGCCCTCAAGTCCCGATCGCATTAATTTGCGCCATTTGAAGAGGGAGCTCCCTCTTCCGCGGATCCTGGCCCCTCACCCCTCCCGAACTTAAAGACACAAGAAAGCAGGGCCAAGAAAGGGGGATCCAGAGCAAGTGGGGGATGGGCTGGAAGGGGCAAGAAGTCGCAGGCTTTAGCTGCCAGTTCCTCGTATGAATCTGCAGGACTTGCAGGACTGGCGCCCTTCCTCCGAAGAAGTTGAGGATTTCGCAAAAGAGGGAAAAAAATAAAAATAAAAAATAAAAACAAAAAACACCTTCCAGGATGGGGTCCTTCTGCGGCACCAGTTTGAGCTCTAAGGACAGCATCAATTTAGTCAAGGTCCTTCGAAAGTCGAAGCATTTTTATTTTTCTATCACCTCTGCACCTTCTGTAGCTGAAGATTTTTCTAGTTCTAAACTCCAGGGCTTGTCCTTGGAAAGCTTTGAAATCTTCCCTGAAAGAGGCAGTTTCTCAAACATGACTCCTAGTTCCTCACTCGAAGACAAGGAAGGCTCGGCGACTGCAAGGAAGGGAGGGCCTCTCGGGAGGTTAGCAGATCCCAGAACGAGGCTTTCTGTCCATCCATCAGTTCCCACCCCCACCCAAGGACAAAATATCTTTTCCCTCTCCTTTCGCAGCCCTCCTGGTGATTGGTGAATCCCCACAAAAATAAAGCGTTCCGGGTAATCGGTTTTCATAGCACATCCATTCTATTAAAGAAGACTGTTCGGAGCTACCTAATTGCTGGCGGATCCCACTGAGGCGTACATTTTTTTTAAAAATGCGTGCGGGGTTCCTGGGCAGAGGCCACAAAATGCAGTGGAAAGGGGGATGAAATGGGGGCTAAAACGAACGCAGTACTGAAGGGCTAGTCTTCAGATTCCTCCATCTGGAGGAAGAGACTCAGGTAGTAACAGCTGCCTTTAAAATTTAATCCCTCTACAAGTTGATTTTCTGCCCACCGGGAAGAAGCTATCTAGGAACCACATCGCGGCCATTCCTCAGCCTATTTATATTCCAGTAAAACATGCATTTTGGGCTGCAGGGTAAACGCCACCAACCAGTTTAGCGACCCAGACACTGACTGCAGGACAACTAGTCTTTAGGATCTCAACCGACAAAAGCATTCCCCCCCCCACCCCCGGAAGCACGAGTGCTTTAGGGTTCAGAAGTCGAGGGGATGCGAAGCGAGGGGGAGGGGAGAGAGTTGAGAGCGGGCTAGGCTGCAAGCAGAGCGCCGGTCTCGGGGTTTTATCTGCCTCGGGCCAGCCCTGCCCTTGCCAGGCATGAATTACGGTCGGTTTTCTCCGCTGCCTACTACAGTCGCGCCTGGGCAGCAGCGCCTCGGGTTTGCGCTGCGGCGAGATAATAGGCACAAGCCCGGACTGTCTGCTCGCCGAACCCACAGGCCGGGAAATCCGCAAAGGCCTCACAAAAATGAGCTCGGAGGTTGCCGGCTCTCCAAGGATCCCAAACACAAGCCTTTCCTTCTTCGGGACTAAGCCATGCACCCGGGAACAGGCTTTTTATTTTGTTTCTCCTACTGTCTTCTCAGATCCGGGGACACTTTCCTTCGCAGCCCAGCCAGGGTCCTGAGCTAGTTCAACTAGCCTTTGAGTCCGGTCCCCTGCGCTCTGCAGACGCGCTCTTCTAGCCTTGTAATGTTTGCAACCCTGGCCAGCCCTTGCGTGCTGGACCACTGCAGAAACGAACGCTCACGGAGCCCAAAAAGAAGAGACTGTGGGGCTTGAGACATACTCTAAAAGCCCAGGGGCCGAATGCAGGTCTCAGGGCTGCGGGCGCAAGCAGTTTGCTCCCTGGAGGCAGGGGCGCGACTTCAAGGGCCCCTGCGCCGGCTGCAGCCTTTGATCCGGCCGCCGCTGGCGCCTAAAAACAACATCCTCGTCTGCCTATTAGGCGCGCTGAGGGATCGTGACAGATTGTTTATCCCCGCAATTAGCGATGCAGCCCTTCTCAAGCCGCCCCCTCCCCGGCCTGAGGCTAGGCCTCTTTGCTCAGACTGCCGCGCATGCCGAGTTCCGTTGGAGTCCCCCCACCCCAAGGCCCTGGGGCCCCACTCTTAGGGTTCGAGACCCTCTTAACCCTAAACCAGGAATTAAGACACAGGGCTGGTCCACGAGTTCCTGATGTTGTCTATACAATTGCGTGTAATGTGTTTAGTCGATGTTTATTTTTTCCAGGGAAACGGTCCTTGCTACATTGGATTGATTCTCCGATCTCTCCCTGGGAGAGAATCTTTTTGAGTTGGGGACCGCGGTGAAAACCCCTACCTTTTCACAAGTATTTCTTATATTTAAAACGCTGGCCTAAAGGGGTGGGCACTTAGGGGATTTATTTCCGCTTCTGTTTTAACTGGAGCGCAGAGTGAAAATCGTCTATCGCTGCTGAACGAGTTGATCTAACAACAGCTTAATTAGTTCTTCAGCTATAGAAGTTCGCCCTCCCCTCTAGGCTTCGAGCTAGGCGTTCGGCCTACGCTCTTCCTTAGCTTTCATTTGCCAGGCTTTAAAAATAGGGTGGCTTGACTTCTGCTTTTCACACACACAAGACACACTCCTCAGTGAACCCAGTACAGCGGGCATCCAGCTGGGCCTAATTGAGCTTGAGTCCCAAGCCCTGTGCAGTGCCTGCTCCGCAGACTCAAATGCCTAAAACATCCTGACATTTCACAGAAGCGAGTATTCCCGAACCCGCCCCGAGGCCTTACTATTTCTCCAGGCCCTGTGGGCAGATGTGAGGCTCCGATCTCTCCGGCGTCCGCAACCCGACCCCTCCCTCCAGACCCCGGACGCCGTCTGGGTAATAAAGTAATTCATTTTCCTTAATCTGGTCGTCCCTAACCTACAGCTTTTTATTGCGCCCAGTTAAAAGGCCAGGGAATTCGCTATCCCTCCGTGCTCGGATAATTACCCCTAAATGGCCACGGCAGCCCCTTGTGTTTCCTGGAGATTAGAGCCCCGCAGTCATCAATGCCCAGTCCCGGTGAGCCGCCAATCACCTCCTCCAACTCCCCCGGAGCCGCGGGCCTGGGCCCTGGGATAAGAGAGGCCATAAAAGAAAAGCACACACCACCACCCCCACCCTCGTCCCAACCCAGTGCCCCCTCAACAACTTTCCTCCTTTTTTCTATATCAGCCAAAATAAAACCTTCGAAATTCGGCAAACAAAAGTTTTTAAGCCTCGCACCAAAGTTGCGCTGCCAGGAACTTTCTTTCTCTGGCCCCTCCCTCACAAGGGCCCTACTCTCCACCACCATAGACCCAGCCTTAGAAAAGGGTTAGGAGTTTGAGGTCACGCTGAGGCCAGATCGTGTTTTGTTGCTGCTGTTGTTGTTGTTGTTGTTTTCAATTCTCCCCGCAAGGGTTCCAGCGGCTGCTTTGGCCAGCCGCTCTCTAGAAGAGGGTGCAACTTTGCGGAGAAAAGTCAGGGAAGGGGGTACAGGTTCCTATGAAAACCAAGCGCACTTCCCAGGTTATGTTACATGTTCTTGCACCCACAGAACCAACAGGGCCCAGGCTTCCTTTGACAAACTTAATCAACCTTTAGAAACAAAGGCCCACTTTTACCCCGGGGTAAACTTTTTCAGATTGAAATACACAAGACACTTAAGGTGTTTTTTTTTTTTTTTTTAAAGAAAGAAATTAATATTATCCCTTTCTACTCTGACAAATAACTATGATCATTCAAAACAAATATGAAAAGAATCTGTAAGTGAACTGAAGTAAAAAAAAAACCTTCGTGGTAGAAAAAGGGGGCCGAAGAGAGAAGGGGGCCAGAAAGAAATAGCGACAGACCCGCGAGAGAACCGGCAGGGGAAAGAAAGCAGGCTACGGAGGGACAAGGAAGAAGTGGGAAAGGGGCGATGGAGGACGGCTAGGGCAGAAGAGAAGAGCTAGGACAGGAAAGTCCCTCTGGAACTCGGTAGGATCCACGTCTAGGGGGACCCAGCCGGACAGATGCCCACCAGGCTAAATCGGGCGGAAAGTCTCCCCAGGTACCTCCGGCTCTCCCCGGCCCAGAGCGCCCCCAGGCCCGGCGCGCTGGGGACAGGAGCGCGGCCCAATGGTTCTCTCCGGGCCCGCCCCCTCGCGCGCTGATTGGTCGCTGCCGCGCTGGCCTTGCCTTATTAACAAGTTCTCAGGGGAGCGGCGGCGGACCCGGAGCCGGCGTGTGCGCCCGATAACTCGGCCTGCGCGGCGCAGCGATCCAGGCCCAACTCGCCCCAGCCGGCCTTTGGGGGAGCCGCGGGAGGCTCTCGCGGGAGGGCCGGCCCGCCGGGGTCCCGGGAACTCGCAGAAGCCGGCCGCGCTCCCAGCCCGCCCGAAACCCATGCTCCAGGGCTGGCCCGAGCTGCGGCTGGAGTGGGGGTCCCGCTCTGCATGGCCCCGGCTGCTGCTATGACTTCTTTGCCACTCGGTGTCAAAGTGGAGGACTCCGCCTTTGGCAAGCCTGCAGTGGGAGGCGCTGGCCAGGCCCCCAGCGCTGCTGCGGCCACGGCGACCGCCATGGGCACAGATGAGGAGGGGGCCAAGCCCAAAGTGCCCGCTTCGCTCCTGCCCTTCAGCGTGGAGGCCCTTATGGCTGATCACAGGAAGCCCGGGGCCAAGGAGAGCGTCTTGGTGGCCTCCGAGGGGGCTCAGGCAGCGGGTGGCTCGTTGCAGCACTTGGGCACCCGACCCGGGTCGCTGGGCGCCCCGGACGCGCCCTCCTCGCCGCGGCCTCTCGGCCATTTCTCAGTCGGGGGACTCCTCAAGCTACCAGAAGATGCTCTGGTGAAGGCCGAGAGCCCCGAGAAGCCAGACCGGACCCCGTGGATGCAGAGTCCCCGCTTCTCCCCGCCCCCAACCAGTAAGTAGCCAGCCCAGGACCGAGAGCGAAGGGGCCAGAAGGGGGTGTGGGGCACGAGGGCGCCAGGCCGCGCGCCGGCGCCGGCTTGTCTCGGGCGTCGGCGTACCTGCATCTGGGTACCTGGAGGCCGTGCAGAGGTTGCGTTGGCAGGGAGGAGGCCCTTTGAGCCTCTTCCCACTCCCACCCAGGAAGAGAGTTAGAGGCCTGGAGCTGGCAAACCCCTCAGTCCGTTTTCGCGGGCTCCTTGCCTTGGCGCTGTGCCGCTGAGTGTGTCAGTTCATTTGTAGCGCGCGGGTGTCTGTACCCCCTCTTATTCTTCCGGTACTTAGGACGCCAAGTGTTCCTTGCTCCTCCACTTGACCCTAAACCCACTTAGATTTTGCACCCGACTTAGATGGGCCCAGCGGCCAGTACATCTCTCTGCGGAGTTTCACTTTCTGGTAGTGGTAGGTCTCCAGGGATTCCGGAGCTCTGCAAAACTCCTCCTTTACCCATCAAGTTCTGAGCAGTTACTTGGTGTGCTGGGCGGGTGGATGATTTAGCAAGAGGGACAATCGTGAACAAGTAGAAGGGGGCGGGGCAACAAGGGCAGCCTAAGGAGCTTCCCATTTATCGCTTTGCTAGCTTCGGAACGCGTTGGACCTGGCTTTCAAAGCCGACCCAGCAGCCAGCGACGTGTTCCGGGATAGTCCTAAATCCTCGTGGCCCCCAGGCGTCTTTCCCCAGCGAACCCGCTCGAAGATATTTCAGGAGCACGGGAAATTCCCAAGTTTTCCTCGTTTCCTCCGATTATTTCGCACCACATAATAGCACTGCAAATTCAATGGCGTGATGCTGAGGAACGATTTTTATCTGGGGATTAAACGTCTTTGAAAAGACAGCCCCTCCCTGGGCCTAATAGTTGGTGAAGGTGGCCCAGAGCTGGGCTATTGATGCTGACCAAAGTGACATTTCCCTATGAACCCTCCCTTCGCTCTCGCTGCCTGGCGGAAAACGAGTCTGGGGCCAACTTCTTTCCGGACTTGCCTTAGCCTGAGCTGGGGAAGAAGGGGGATGTTAACTGGAAATTTTGTTTGACTCACATCCTAGTGGTCGGAGGGCCCAAAGGGTTATTATTATTTTTTTTTAAGTGCCAAGAAGTGCATAGTTAGGTAAAAACCCGCATGGTGAGACATCCTCAGTTTTAATTCGCTTTCTTAAAGGGAAAACTGCTGCAGAGGCAAAGTCTCCTCCTGGAGACTTAGGAATTTGATTTAGAACTTCAGCCTCTAGGACCCCAAGTTAAGGCAATTACTAAGTACATGTGTGTTGTTGTTGTTGGGGGAGGCGGTTGTTGTGGTTTGTTTTATCCTGCAACAGTGTTGTCAGGCATAGCAGGGGTGATGGAGGATTGAAACCCCATCCCCTAACTGGGCCTGCCTTCCAAACCAAGGCTGCACTCTGCCGAGACTTAACCTTACCTGGGAAAACAGCTATGCTGGAGAAGCTATCACACACACACACACACACACACACACACACACACACACACACACACTTGCTGTGGTCTAAGAATCCAAAGAATCCAGGCACTGTCTTTAGGAGAGATTGTTAGGGAAAACGGAGAGCATTTGAAACAGCAGCACATCTAGATAAAAATGTCCTCATATATATTTTAGAATTGTCACAGTGCTACCTCTTGGATGGCTCTCTTCGTACGATTGGCACTAGAGCCCAGTAAAAGCATGGTGTTTGATAGAAAGTGTGGAACTTCAAGATCCATTCTAGGGCTGGAGAGATGGCTCAGCAGTTAAGAGCACTGACTGCGCTTCCAGAGAACCTGGGTTCAATCCCTAGCACCCACATGTCAGTTCACATCTGTCTGTAATTGCAGGGGACCCAACACCCATGGCGAAACACCAATGCATATAAAATAAAAATGAATATTTAAAAAAGCAATTCTATGCAGTGGCCTAGCCCCAGTGCAGTACATTTGGTGGGCACAAATGCAAATGTATGCCTAAAGTATGACCTTGGGTTGCGCTAAGGGCCTCTGCATGTTTTATACCCCCCCTTTAACATTCATCTTTCCTCTGTGCTGTGGCCCACAAGAGGCCCCAGAGGGGAAGGAAGGCCTGACTTTAAGGTAGGTTGGCACTGTCTCTGCCCAACTGTGTATTCCAGCATTGAACATGGATAGATTTCTTCTGGAACCTTAGTAGACAAGAACTTCTGTGCTACGGTTTGGGTTACATACAGATGGAGAAAAATATTTTTCAAGTGCCTCTTAGTGCAGAACATAGAGCTGCTTGGGTGAAATCAGTGCCTAGAATGGTTTCTGTTTCTTAGTAACACACACTTAACCTCCTTGCCTTTTTCTTCTCCCGGCTACTTAGGGAGACTGAGTCCCCCGGCCTGCACCCTACGCAAACACAAGACCAACCGCAAGCCGAGAACGCCCTTCACCACCGCACAGCTCCTGGCTCTGGAGCGCAAGTTCCGCCAGAAGCAGTATTTGTCCATCGCCGAGCGCGCCGAGTTCTCCAGCTCGCTCAGCCTCACCGAGACCCAGGTGAAGATCTGGTTCCAGAACCGCCGCGCCAAGGCCAAGAGACTGCAAGAGGCCGAACTAGAGAAGCTGAAGATGGCTGCAAAGCCCATGCTGCCGCCTGCCGCCTTCGGCCTCTCCTTCCCTCTTGGCGGCCCTGCGGCGGTGGCCGCGGCTGCGGGCGCCTCGCTCTACAGTGCCTCTGGCCCTTTCCAGCGCGCCGCGCTGCCCGTGGCACCCGTGGGACTCTACACCGCCCATGTTGGCTACAGCATGTACCACCTGACATAGGTGGGCCCAGAGTGTCTCACTGTGGTGCCCCTCCCCCAGCCACCTCTTCTTGCAGCTGGAGTCCTTCCTAGGAAGCCCCATATCACCCGGCCCCTTCTCCTAAGCCCCCCTCATACAGTTCCTCCAGTTCCTCCCTCCAGTTCCTCCAAGTCTGATCCCATCTGGGGGAAAATAAGTGGCTGGAAGGGTCTGGATTTTTCGAGAGAATCTAGATTTTACACCTGCGAGTTATAGTTGTGGAAATTAAGGGCACCGAGGCCAAGAGATTTATCCGTGGTCCCCAGCAGAATTAGAGGTTGAAGGAGACCAGAGGCCAAAACGACTAGAGGCCATGACTGCATCAGCAGCTTCCGGTCCTGGGACCAGGCAGGACTTGCGCAGAGAAATTGCTGTTCGGTGCTTCGGGAAAATGAACACAGTCCTATGTAGAAAGCAAGGAGCCCAGCTCCTTCCACTGCCAAACTCTTAAGAGCTTTAGCCACAAAGCATTGCTCTGAGGAGGCAGGGCGCATGCTGATGCTTTACCAAGGTAGGTTGGAGAGAATTTCCCAGGACCAGGAAAAAAAAGAAGTAAGAAAACAATCTGTTTCTATTTAACAGTACATTTTCGTGGCTCTCAAACATCCCTTTTGAAGGGATCGTGTGTACTATGTAATATACTGTATATTTGAAATTTTATTATCATTTATATTATAGCTATATTTGTTAAATAAATTAATTTTAAGCTACAAGATATGATGTCTGCGGATTTAGTTGTGCGTTTTTCCTCTTCGTTCTTTCTCATCACATACACAGTTGCTTTCCAGTTTGTTGGCAGTTTTTACATTAGCAACTTTCAAAGGCCACAGGAAGATGTTCACGAATCATTTTGGGGGGCATGCAGGAGAGATTTGCATTAACACAGTCAAGTGGAGAATTGGAGCAATTACCTAGGATAATTAGGCTCAATTTTCCAATTCACTTTAAGCTGAAATCGACACTTGCTCTTCCCACCCATAACTGACTCTTTTTTTCCTCCTCCCCTTTTAAGCTGTCTATGAAGACAAAGTGACTCTGCCTAAATGGTTTGACTTGTCAGCAGCTAATCCAGACAATCCCTGTCCCCTCAAACCCGGTTTTCCTATGGGGGGGGGTGGTGGTGTATCTAAATAGCCACCAGTGCAGACACACTGAGTTTCATTTTGAGCTGCCTAAAGAGCTTTGCACAGCCTGCCCCTCCCCCCACAAACATGTGGCTACACTGAAGAGTACACAAAACTCAGGGCTACTCTGTACCTGGGCCCTGCTCTCCTGCCCTCTTAAACAGGGTTCCCCCCACCCCTATATAGTTCAGACTTCCAAGAAAAATCTAAGTGCACGTTTAATCTTCTGGGGGAAAATTCTTCAAGGATGTGAAAGACAGAAAATGACCTCTTGGTAAATAAAACCTATTATCCACCCCCTCCCCTTCTTTTTCTCTTGTGTAGTGACAATCCCTACCAAATCTAGGTTCTCCCCTCTACCAGCCCTCATCTGGTGGGAGCTTGACTATCCTTGCAAGAGAGCCCTGGGCAACCTTAGTCCAGAGATGTCAGGAGGAGGAACCTAGACCCCTAGTACCTGGTGTTGGACTTGGGGGAGATGTGGACACCTCCACAGAAGGTAGAAATTACTTCTGGTCCCAAGGCTCATACTGGCCTGGGAATTACATGTGATTCTGGGGTGTGGGGAGATTGGGAGGGTTCTGTACTGTCTCCAAGATACTCCAGAGGTACTTTGGCCTTGGGTCCTCCAGTCTGCTGTAGCTGGAGTTAAAATGCTATGTTTCTGGCTATTTGTCACACCCATTCCCTAAAAGAAGGATAAGCTTGTCAAGCTTTGTTGTCGAGGATCTTGGTTCTACTACCCTGGAGGACTCTGGAAAGTGACTTTCAGTCTCTGGGCCTCTAGAAGCAAATCCACAACCTGGATCATGATGGGACAATTCCACCTTCCAGGTGGCCTCCGACACCACATGTTCTTTCTTTAGAGACTCTTGGGAGCTGTCAGCCACTTAAGCAGTTTAGGGCCATACAGTCGTCCACCCCGACCCCCAAACATCCTGACCCCCATGTCGAATCTCCTGGGTTCCTTCCTAGAAAGCCACTGGAGATGGTTAGGTAGACAGTGGTACTGAGTCTGTGTGTCTCAGGTGGGCCGAGGCGGCTGTGTGGTTGAGGTGCCCGTGTGACCTGAGGCAGGCTCGTCATGCCATCTTGCCGTGCCTCCTCGGCTTTCTCTCCCGGGAAAAGGGTCCTGGTATCCTCATCATCCTCGCGCCTAGAATTTGGGAAGTATTAACCCGCCTAGCATAAAAATCGCAGAAGATTCTCCTGGAGCCTGCGGTTTCAGCTCGCGCCCTGTGCTCCGCAGCAGCAGCGCAGAAGTCCTTCCCCTCACTCAGAATAAAGGAATGGCAGGACAGGATCCTGTGTCTCCTCCGGCCCAAGCTCCTGGGCCTCCTGGCTCCTCTGAGTTTAGCAATTTAGGATCGAGGCAAATTTAGAACAACATAATTGCCGTAATGAGCAACGGTTCGTGTTCTGCAGACGCGCCATGGCTCCAGCGCGGCGGTAGCTGCAGGCGAGGCGGGCGCACCTCCTCTCCCCCTTCTCGAGCCTCCCTAGGACCCCCACCCGCAAGCGCCGTGGCCTTTGGAAGTAGTCTTGGGCCGGGGTTTCCTTCCATTACTGGGCCCGTTCATCCCCCGCCCCGATTTTTATTTCTTTCCAGTTAGCTCTTTCTTTGCCCACCTTCTCATTTCCTAAGTGTCTTTCTAGACGGCTATGTAGGCAGAAAGTGCTCAATAGACGTTTGCTGTCTCTGAGCAGTCCACTGAATTGACGTCGAGTTTTCAGCGTGGCAGCAACTTGCAGCCGGGAGATGGATAACCGCTCTCACTGTCGGTTCCTTGTCTATTCAAGCGAGAGCGATGTCTATCACGCCGGTCCTTGGCTCGGTTCTTTACCGATCAAATTCCTGATCTAGCTAACGAGTGGTCTGGATCGCAGGGAGTGGGGGTCACCATCTAGGGTGCTGGCAGGCTATGGTAGAGAAGTCTATTCATGGAACCTACTGTGTTGGGCATGTTACCGTGCGTGCCGACTGTTTAACTCCTCCTCTCAAACCTAGATTTCTATAGTCTTGGAGTACTACTGCGGCCCGGAGAGGTGACAGGACACACAGTTAATGAGGAAACAGAACAGGGATTCGATCTCATTTCATTAGGTACCTATGCGTTCCGGAGCACCAGTCCAGGTCTTTATAGCTGAGGGTCACTGAATGGCATGACAGTTCTTGTACAAAATGTAGGTGCCACTGGTAATCTGGACCCCAGTTGTGACTTTACCCTTTCCCCGTGACCGCAAGCAAGCCCTTTTCCTAGGACCATGAGAGGGACGTCTTCCCTGCCCGGCCTGCACCAGCATTTTCATTAAGTTGGAAAGATCACGGAAACCTAGCCTGCAAATACGGTTTCTGACGATGCCGCAGGACTGGAGCGGTCGCGGAGATGATACTGGCCAGGGCAGGGGACTTGGGGCACCAAAGTTCTGGGCGTGGGCTCGCGTTCAGAGCGCCTAGTTTCAGGGTACGTGGCTAGTGGTTCGGATAGCTGATTCTGGGAGGACTGCTCAGGTCGCGCAGGCGGCTTACAGATCAAGCGTCCCACCCCGGGGGGTGGGTGGCTTTAGTGACCCAAGGACCCTAGGTGAACCCAGCCGGTCCAGGCCTGCGCCCCATCAGAGCCTTCGGGGGCGCAATGGGGAGCGGGGAGGAGAGACAGCGGCCGCCTTTCAACTTTTTGGCTGGCGCCGGCCTGGCCGAGACCCCCGGGGCCACCGATCCTCCCGGCTCTGGACGGTCCTCCCAGCCGCTAGCTCCTCAGCAACAGTCTCCCTGTCCTCATGCGGGGCGCCACCAGGAGCACCTGATCCCCAACTACCACAGCCAAGTTCTCACTCTCACCCATTGCACCCCAAGCTTGCATAGTAGACTCAGGGGATCCCTTCAGCTCCGCTCGACAGCTCGAGTTTCCCTGCACACTTTGGCCCTGCAGAGTCCTGGCGACAAGCCTGCCTGCCTCCACCACAGCGCCACCCCGCGGTGACAGCAGTCTTTTCTTAATGTCAACTGCCTGCAGTCCCCTTTTCCGTCTCTTGCGGATTCTCTACACCACAGGCAGAGTCTACAAAGTGCTTGTACACACATGACCCATGCACACCTACACAACACAACAGCACACGCCTCAGCAAACACACATGGCCAACATGTGTACCCCAGACTCACACAACTCAAATTCACACAGATGCCTCACACATGACCAGCTATCACACACCACAGTCAAAAATCAGCAGATGGCACAGACACAACCGATAGAGCTACACAGTATATACACAACCAACACACATGCCCAAACACAAGCATGCATGCCAGCATTCCCTAGTTCACAGAGGCAAGCCTCACACAGTTAAGGCCACCTTCTAACGTTCATAGAGAGCCAGAGGCTTAAACCCTGCGGACAGAAACACACTATCTTGGAGAAAAGAGAGATAGACCTAGATGGAGAGAAAGAATTCCTGAGGGATGGTATCTGGAGAGAGCCAGGGAGAGGCACAGCAAAACCTGGCATAGAGTGGATCTCAGTGGTGGATGCACAGATCCCAACATCCTAGGTCCTGGGTGCAGGTACCAGTGTGAGGAGTGCGTATGTGACTATGCATTTGGGTTTTTGCTCTCATGCACGTGTGTACATAGTTCTCAGATGCAGAGTTTTCACAAGGTGAGGGTGGGAATTCTGGAAGGCCCCTCTCCTGAATATTAGGAGCCCTCTTCTTTTTCCCTAGAGCAGAACAGCTGGTCTGTATTTGTCAATGCCTCTCATGCCTTCCCAAGAGGAGCTCCCAAGAGACCTGACTCTGCTCAGGATCAGAAAGAACCCAGACCCAAGATCTGGAATGTCTGTCCAACATCTAACCCTTATCAGGCAGGCACAAATACATGGGTGCTACTAGGAACAGCCCAAATACCACTAGATACCACAGTCTGCTGATGTCTGATTGCTGGCACAGGGCTGGGATGT